TTTGTTTTGTTGAGTATTTACCAGTTTTTTATTCATATTTGTAATTTTCATTGTCAGATATTACCACTGCGCAGGCAGGCATTGTTTAATAATGAACAACTAGTTAAGTACAACCCCGAGTTATTGTTTATAAACAAGCAATGTATAGTAATTTTATGGACTGTTGGAAAATTATTTTATGAAGTAAGCATAAATAAAGCAGGACTAAACGCAAATTTTGAATGCATAGCTACTATACTGTATTGCTAAGCAATTTGAATTTTTTAATAAAGCAAATACTGTACCTTTAATGGCAACTCTGGGGGCTCTGGAATTAGGTGAGAGAGAGCTAGCTGGAAAATAAAGGTAACATGACATTTTTAAATAATTTGTTCAGCTGATTTCTAATTTAGGGTGTAACCTATTTTTGGGGGCATGCATTCTTCTATTCTCTGGTAGATGCACCGCTGATCAACTCATATTCTAGAGAATGTTATCGAAAGCATGCATTATATTTTTTAATAACATATGTTTATTTTCTCGTAACAGCCTCCAAGTTCACCTTATGAATATACTGTAAAAGATTTGGCTGAGACAAGATACCAAGCAGAGGAACGTGTGAAACTTCTGAAGCAAGAGCTCACGGAAGATGTCGAAATAGGTTAGTTAAAGATTAAGCAGTAATGTCCAGCAGTTTTAATTTTGCAATTTAGGTCATTACTTCTGTGTTCAATGAATAGCTTCTTTATCACCATGCCATATCAACTATTTATAGAGTGTGGAATAAAAATTTAAATATGAGCTTTTTGCATATCAGTTTGTTTTGTTTTTTTTTTCTCTTCAGAGCAAACTCAATTTGCAAGCAGTGTAGGATCAATTAAAACTACTTCAACGCATGTCAGTACCACATCAGCATCTGTTAGTGGACTTTCACATCTAACATCATTAATCAAAGACCAAAGCAGCCAGTCTAATCAACCAGTTTCTTTAGCGACAGCCACAAAATCTACAGGATTGCCAAATCAGTTGAATTTGCAAGTACTCCCAAAGCCATCAAATGCAAAATTAGATTTGCTTTCAAACCAGTCTAAGTCGTCTACTATAATCCAGAGCTCAGGAACAGGATCTAAGGAAGGGTTGGGAAGTGTGTCATCAGTCTCTGCCACATCAAGCTCTTCCTCAACAGCATTGCCTTCTTCACATTTTAACACAAAAAATGTACCACCTGGACTTCAAACTAGTGTACAAAAACCAACTCTAAATTCAACACCTGATCTCCAGTTTGGCCAGACAGCATCTGTTAAATCTGTGACTGGTCTTGCTTCATTTACATCCTCACTTACAGGTTCTAACTTAAATAATAAAAACTCTTTACCTTCCAATCAAAGCTTAGAAGGAATTAGAACCCCAAACCAAGTAGTAATTGTTGGAGGAACTGGTGATGCCTCAATCAACAAACTTCCTGCTAACACTAGAACTACTAGTAGACTTCCATCAAGTAGTTTAACAGTGGCACAAAGCACCAGTGTTTCTGCATCTGCATCTACTAGCTCATTGATAAGTAATAAAAATCAAGCTTTTTCTCTAGATAATGAAGCACAGGAGAAGTCTATAGCTTTATCCTATTTTTCAAAAACCAGTGGATCTACCACAGACAAGACAGTTTCTTTGAATGGATCGATTAGCACAAATATTTTTGGAACTCCTCAGTCCACTGCTGGACCAGCCACTTCATCACACCTATCCAAAGCAGCATCCTCAAGTTCTGCTTCTGGTACTGGAAACACTTCATCACAGTCACAGAAGAGTACCTTTAAACCAATATTTGGAGATGCATCAGCACCAAAAGCTTCCTCTGTGACACCATCACAGCAATTATTTACTCCAATCCTAGCACCTACTACTACACAAAGTGCAAGCAAGCCACCAGTGGGTGGGTTCAATTTCAATCCAACTTTTGACTCAAAATCTTCTAAAGAATCTGCAACAGCCCAGGTTCGTACAAGCCATTTCACCTTTGGGGCACATAATTCTGCATCTAGTCTGTCATCAGGTGCATCTTGTAGCAGTACAGGCTTCAATTTTGGTGCAAGTACTGCAATGAAAAGCACCAATAGCTCAGACATTAGCATGACAGGAGCATCCAAATCTGGCTTTAAATTTGGTAAGTAAATTACAAAAGTTTGTTAAAACTTATACTTAAAAGACAAACCTGCAACTTTTCTATTCCTATAAGATTAAAAGTGTAAAGTTATTTGGCATGGTTCAGTAGTTCAAATTGAACAAACTCAACTCAAAGCATTCCTTTTCTAAGAATAATTTAGTCAAAAAAATACTGGAAAACAATCATTGACAATATAAATTTGTGATGAATGCCAAACTTCTGAAATTCCCAAATAGATATTTAATTTACTCTCACTGTGAATGTATTTCAGGTGCTCCTTCCCAACAATCAAGTGGTGCCTTTCAAATTGGTCAACCAAATCCAACCTCCTTTTCAAGTACTCGGCCTGTTATGGCTTTTGGTCAGTCTCAGTCAACACCAGATTTTAGTCAGACAACACAGACCATGACTGTGTTTGGCCATCCCAGCAATTCGACACCAGCCTTTGGACAACCTAACCAATCATCTTTCACCCCAATTGCCTCAAATAGTTTCAGTCAGTCAAACCAAACCAATGTTTTTGGACAATCCAATCAACCTGTTCCTGCTTTTGGCCAGAGCTCTTCTCAACCGGCATTTGGACAAGCATCTAGTTCAGTTGCAAACACAAGTTTCCAGTTTAACTCATCCAGTACACCATCTTTTGGTCAGTCAATTGGTGGATTTGGACAATCTGGCCAAACAGGGCCTCCATCCTTCGGCCAGACTGTTCAACAAGGAACATTGTCATTTAGACAAAATGAAACTTTACAACAAGGCTTCAACTTTACAGGATCAGGTAAGAATATAAACATATGCACATTAGAAATAAGCAATGTGTATATATGTGTATGTATGTATTGAATAATGCTGAAAATGAAGATGTATTGTGGTGCCACCACTGCTTTAAACTCTACCATACATGTACTTGGGGATGAGGTGTGGAATTTTGTATCAATGGCACCTTTGCAAACACATCAACTTTTTGTATAGTATTTAGTCTGGTGTGTGCCCATACTCCTAAACATAAAAGTGGGTAAATTTTGGGAAGGGGTTGCTTATACTTGGGGTTCAGAAACTGCTAATAATAGTGAAGCTATTTTAATATTTATCAAGTGTTTGTACTAAAGTCTCAAAGTGAGTTATTGGCTGAGCAGTTAAGGCAGATGCGGTGTAGCCTACAGCCATACTGTAATATCAGCGCTCGTGCGAACGGCATGCTCTCTATATTTCTGGTGGGAGAACAAGTCTTCTCGGATAAGGACTATAAACCGTAGGCCCAGTGTACACAAAGCTTGTGTGCACTATAAAGAACCCAGTACATTATCGGAGACAAGTAGGGGGATTCCTCGTGTACTAGTACAGAGAACCCTGTGGTGGACAAGAGTTGCTTGTACCAGGTTACCGGGTAGCACACACACGAAGGGACCTTTATGGCCGAAGAAAGTCTTTGATCGAGCTATTAGTCCACACTTCAAGGTTCATGACTCCCTTCTGCTTTAGCATGTTGACAAACATATTTTTTGAAATTTTATCTAGTCATATATCATCAAAATGGTGTGTTTCCAGCACTGGGACAGCACTAAAAGCATAGCCTCCCCACGTTTTTGTCTGTGAATTGACGAGTAGTTGTAGTTTGCAAGTGAGCAATCAGCATAATTACACATGTACCAAAAACAATAGGCTCAATCTTGTTATTTACATCTTGCATTCTGCCAACTTTGAAACCAGTCAGATTTACCAAACTTTAGTTATGGTGTGAACTAGCCTAAATTACCTGATTAGTGAAATATTAATCCATCATGTACAAAAAATAGTATACTCTGTCTTCTTATATGCATCTTGCATTCTGCCAAGTTTGAAATCAGTAAAATTTACCAAAATTTAGTTATAATTAGCCTAATTACCTGATAAGAGTGAAATATTAATTATACAAATGAATAATTAGCATATTCATAAATTTACCAAAAACAATAGGCCCTGTATTTTTATTACTATCTTATATTCTGCCAAGTTTGAAACCAATTGGAATTACCAAACTTGATTGGTGAATATATCAATTATGCACATTAACAATTAGCATATTCACACATGTACCAAAACAAATAGACCTCATCTTCTTATTATTATCTTATATTGTGCCAAGTATGACACCAATTGGAATTACCGAACTTTAGTTATTGTGTTAACTAGCTTATTTTAATTACCTGATTAGTGAAATATTAATTATGAAAATTAGCAATTAACATATTCCCACACGTACCAAAAACAATAAGCTCTGCTTTCATCCTACCTTCTTGAATTCTGGCACATTTGAATCCAATTGGACAAGCGCCCTCAGCAACACCAAGTGGGACGAGTACTGTATACTAGTCTCTGACAGCAATCATGTTAAAGGCCATTTGTCTGAGCTACGCGATAAACAGGTGCCAGCTTATATTCTCGTCTGTCCACCACAGGGGCTGTTTTAACCAGTACATTGAGGTAACTCCCTAATACTGCTCTTAAAAAATGTTGAAAGATTTTTCATAGTGCGCATGAGCCAATTGTGTGCACCACACCACAGGGGGCTTATGGAAAAAAAGAAAATCCAAAAAAATTCTGGGATAATCATGCCACTAAATGCTAATTGTAGAGTCGCATACTTTTTCCAGACATTGCAGGCTTTATACCCAGGGAAGATGGTTCTACGAGTATTGAGAAAAATATAATTGTTTTCTCTGTATTTATTTGTCGTCGTAAACAAAATACTTTTATATATCAGGTGGTTTCTCAGCGACTCAAGCAGTCCCAAATGCTAACACGTTTTCGGTAGGAACTGGAGGTTCGGTAGGAACTGGAGGATCAATAGCCAGGGACAGAAAGAAGTTAGCTGCACGCAGGAAAGTAAACAAAAGGAGGTGATTTGTACACGTCTGTATGGAATGCTAATTCTTAAGGCTGTAACTACAAAATGCAAGGATATTTGTACTTGAGCATATGGCACAGTATCATCATTATTGTGGTGTTCATAAACCATATGTATTCTATATTCTTAGTCTAGTATGCATGCAATGGGGTTGTGGTCAGTGGCGACAATACAAGTAATATTTCTGCTTTTCTTATAAGATAAGAACCACTATTAAACAGTAACTAAAATGAGTAATTGGAAAAAGTACATTGCCACTGAGAGAGTTTGTGTTTCAGAAAAGTGATAAAATTCTTTTAGAACTGATGTTTATAAACAAATACATGTTTAATAATAAATTAATGTTTTTAATGTAAATAACGCTTTTGCCATATTAGCAAGTGTGTAGGGATACACTTGACTCATTTTGGTTTGTTCCTCTAAAGATTTTACATAAGTTTACAACCACTGTATAAAAAAAGGGAGCAATCTGAAATATGAAGTCAATGTCAACGAATGGGTGTATGGCAGGTTGAAACTGTACATGAAAACTGAATATGAAACATGGGCTGTAGGAAAGCTTGACTTGAGACGAGATTCCATATATTAATATAAGCTGCTTTTTACACTGACTCAAGGTATAAGACTCTCAAGGGAGTTCAAGCTGTTTACGATAGTTTATACTATTGACACCCGTACACTGTTGAAACTGTTACTGTATATTACAGCTTTTCTACAGGGACATGTGGTTTGGGACCATAGGCTCTTAAAGCTGATATACTAATAATTATAGTTTAATTTCAGTAGCAAGCCTACTATGAGACCGAAAGGCTGTTAATGCTTTTTATATAGAAGCTGTGTGTAAGGCACAGTACAGTAGCTTAAGATGAGATTTGATAGCGTTTTGAAACTTTTTCCTTGAGAAATAGGCTGTCCACTTGATTACACTGTTACACCAGCTACGGAATTTCATGATTGGAGACATAAAATGAGACCAACACTTTATTTGAAAAAAAAATGCCTTTCCATTGGCAGCACACGTTACACATAGTATACTGACAGTGTGTAAAAAGAAAATATTTAAAATAAATAATATATACAGTTCGCCCTCCAATTTGAGACCACTTTTGGGACCTGAAAATTTGGGGTGGTTTCGGGATTGGTCTCCAGCAGGCTAGCTTTGTGTTAAAAGGTTGAAGATTGTTATTTGGGTCTTTGGAAAAGTGGTCTCGAATTGGTGGGGTGGGGGGGGGTGGTCTTTCGGAATCTCAAATTGGAAGGTGTACTGTATTTTAGCTGTTGCAGCTTCTAAAATAATAGGTATTCTATTGTACATAATTATCTAGTGACAAAAAGCATATTAGCTCTTGATGTTTAGCTAATTATAGGAGACTTGTAGCTGTTGTATCACTATTAGACTTGTTACGAGATCAGACCCGAGGATGCTAGAATAGATAAAACCTCAGTTGAATAATTGTTGCGTTTTTATGGTCACATATTTCAGCCTATATGTATGCGTAACATTTTTATATGACAAGTACAGTTTATTTGTCATTAATTTATTTGTGATACATATTTTAATGATTTTTATCACATTCTTTACTACTGTCAAAACTATTGCTAAATAGTAGTATTATTATTTTGTTTAATTGCAATTATATTTTTAATTCAGTTTTGCATAGGTGTATACTAAAAAGTGATCATTTACTTTGAATTTTATTAAATTTCTGTTAATGTTATAAATAACTATAACTATTTTACATTGTTGCATGATATTCTTTTACTTGTAAATATGAGATAAATAAAATGATTTTGTTTTTTTTAACTGTACAGTACTCTATTTGGTTTGTTACATTCTCAGTGTAATCAAATGATTAATGGAAAGACCACCTTCACATGCCTTAGGGGAGTGACTGCCAAACCAACTCCTGGTTATTTTATTTTTGATATGTTTTTGGACTTGGACTAGCCACTAATAATACTTACCCCCCATACGGAGGTCAAACTCTATAACCATAATAACCAAAGCCAGACTCTACCGAACACTTGTTTTGCCAGTAGCCCTCCATGGAACTGGAAACATTGAAAGCAAAGGAAAAACAAATGAAAACACATTTAAGATAGCATGCTTAAAGAAAAGTCTGGGTGTCAGCAGACTAGACAGGATTAGGAATACCCTCATCAGAGCAGTGCTGAACATAAATTTAACTAATTTAAAAGACAACTACTTTTACAACTACTGTAAGAGGAGACTGGCATACTTTGGACACAACACTAAGTCCATGAAAAGATGGCTGACAGCGTGAAACGTGACTACACTGATAAATGCATAACATCCATAAAGCCAGATATCTCACCGAAAAACAGACTTTGTGCGAGATTCTTCGTCGCAGCTGCCATCTTGACAATATATTGGTCTATATTATAAACATTATTTGTTTTCTAAACGTTAACTATGTATTTTCCATTTCATATAGAGATTTTGGAAATCACGTAAGGTCCGATTTGATGTCGAATTATGAAACGTGTAGGCTGCTGGCATATCTGATGATTAGTGTCGAAAAATATATACAAAAACATAATACAATAATGACATATTGATTATTGTTGTATATTTGTGGAAAATATTTCAGCTGCTGAGTCTCTTATTATTCCTTCTTTTTTCTTTCACATTTTGCATTATTTTTTATTCATAATCTTATACAGACAATAGGCTTAGGCCTATAATATATTAATTTAAATATAGAATTAATAGATAAGATTAACATGGACGTAGTATTTCATGCTTAATATATTAAATTTAAATACTGTAGTATATATAATACAAATAAATAACATTAATTGAAACGTGGACAAAGTGTCACTGCTACAATAATAAGATTAACAATTTTCAATCTTATAATCAATTCTAGATAGCCGGAGTTAGGTTTGTCTCTTATACACATCTAGATGTGTATAAGAGACAGAGGAACTGGAGGATCAATAGCCATGTGATCCAACTCTTGATTTTAAACGTGACCTTAATACTATTGTTTCTAATCTATCTAGCGATTTTGCTACTAAGGTAAGGGGTTCTATTCCTGTTAATCCCAAGCCCGGCACATTTTACACCATACCTAAATTACACAAAATCCCCAATTTAATTAAATCTCGTAATCTCACAGTTCCATCTTCTCCCACTGAAATATTCAACTTAGCTAAGTCATTGAACATCACTCCACCTGGTAGACCCATCGTTTCATCTATTGGTACCCGTACTGAATCCCTATCAGGCTTGGTTGATTCTTATCTTAACCCTCTTTTACATAACATACCTAGTTTCATCCAGGACACCACGCACTTTCTTAATATTCTGAATAACATCACTGCACTACCTAACAATGCACTCCTCGTCATCATGGACGTGTCTTCTCTATACACTAACATCCCACATGCGAATGTAGGTAAGAATGGCCCCGGAAAAAAATGGCCCCGGAAAAAATGGCCCCGGTAAAAATGGCCCCATATGACAGCTAGGTAAAAATGGCCCCAATGAAAAATTCGGTAATAGAAATGATACTGTATATTTTTTTTAATCTTCAAATATTTAACTGTATATTTAGTTATGTAATCAGAAACTACAGTTACACCTTATTTTACGATAACCGTAATTTGTTTATTTGTTATTTCATTTGTTTTATGAAATGACAATAATAATAATAATAATAATAATAATAATAATAATAATAATAATAATAATAATAATAATAATAATAATAATAATAATAATAATGGCAATAAATTGTTACAATACTGTAACTTACAAAGCAACTTAAAAAAAATAATAACATTGCATGCGTTAAAAAAGATGATGTTAAATTAGTATTAGAAACTTCTTCTTAGTAGGAATACATATATGCAGTACAGTAAAATACAATAGTCAGCAAGTTCGTCAAACAAAATATAAAAATTCTCGCCTTGCGTGGGTAGCATCTTTTTAAAGAAAATCATTAATTTCATTAAAAAAACACAAGTTACTGATTGATTAAATAATTCTATTTTAAATAAGAAATGATTATGCACAGTAAAGGTAACATAGGACAACATTTAAAAGATCATTATATTAGTGCTACTGAAACTGTTAATTATTTCAAGGTTTTATCTAAGTGAAAAATCCAAGTTTGATTGCTTAATTAAATAAATACTTTGGATCAAAGAACTGAAACCTACACTTAACAAACAAATGAGATCAAAAAAAGAAAACGAACGTTTTTGATTTTAGTCCTGTATTACTTTATGACTTTTGATTTACTTTTATATGCTTCTGTGTTATCTGGCCTGATATGTGTGCTTCTTGTGTGATAAGTGGTGTAGTATAGAGTTCAGTATGTACTGTATGTCTTTATGTTTATAATTGTGGGTACGGTACAGTCATGTGACTGGGTATACAGTTGTGTATGGATATATATGTACTTATGTACTGTGTGTATAATTGTTCATGTGATTGTTTGCATCACTTCATTTTGCCTTAAGTTTTTTTTTAGTTTTAGGATTGCTTTTAATTTAATTGCTTTTCCTTAATGTCCTTTTTGAAAATTTGAATTGTCTTTTTCTTAGCATAAGTCTTTTTTGTGAACGTTACTGTACATTTTGTTTTGGACGCACCTTGATTGAGAAGTGTGCCACTGATTGAAAAGTGTAGTTCCTAATAAATTATTATATTATAAACAAACTGATTCAGTCAAAGCTAAACTGTTAGTTAATCTGCTAAGAAGGGCTAATTATTGCTTAGCTCCACCGTCCACTGTGGCTCCACACAGTAGGCCCTATTGATATGTAAATTATTACTTACTTCCTGTCACTGCTTGGTATTTTTGTTTTTAGTTTTTTCAATTTACTTGATCTTGAGAATGGTTCAATGATGGACCCGAAACGTTGATCTTTCTTGTCATTAAATTTTGTTTTGAGATTATGTTCTTAATTGATTTAATAAATAAAAGCCACAAATAATAATTTGATTTACTAAATTTCATTATATAAAAATAGTTATGCTTTAACATAGATTAAAAATATGTTACGCCTTACTTATATTTAATATATGGTTTTTTAAATTAATTTTCTTTTTTTTTTTTTATTGGAAATTCCGTAGTGCAGAGTAAATTTATCAAAACCCATTAGGGTTACAGTAATATGAAAAAAAAATTAGTTTATACAGAAATAGTATCTAAAATGATCTCAGTTTCCAAAGTTAATGCAAAAGATCTAATCTAAACACACAATATTAGGCAGGATGTATTTGTTTGGAAAAGAACCCACTCTTTTGTGAAATTAAGAGGTTTATAGGTGAAAATTGTAAATTTAGAAATAAGTTTTATTTTTTCCTTTGAACTGAGATCAATATTTGATTTTTTTTAATTTCTTTAAAAGCATTTGTTTTTTTAACAATTACAGCAGATGCAAATAATGTTCTGAGAGATAATCGAAAAACAATGGCCATTGAATAACATTTTTTGATAGTAGAAATAAAAGTTTTAAAAACGTTATTTCACTAACAAAGAAGAGGAATGACATACAGTATACAGTACTTCAACTACCAAAATATGCAACTCATAGATAACCACAAACTTCACTTTTGTTAAATATCAAATGAAGTAACTTTACATGTTATAAACAATGCAAATAAACAGTAGTTAAAGCATGTGAATCAATTGTGTGTTTGAATCACAAGTTCATGTATGGGAAATGGGAGAGGCTTACTTTCTCACAAACTTAGCAATAAATTGTCTGCTTAGAGTTTATTCAAAGAAGTATTGCTTTTAGTAAACTGAATAAATTAGGAATACATTTATTTAAGCAACTAATTTAGTTGCATACTTGGTTTTTACTCATCACTAACTAAATCCAAGTGCCTACTACTGGCTTAAAATTATATATAGTTATGTATGGCAATTATGCTAAGAATTAAAATGGCGTGCGATTGTGAGGGTAGGGTGATTATGGTAGGATTAAGTGGTATTGCTAATTCCCACAAACACACTGTAAAAATCAAACAATTCAATTTGATTGACTGACTTGGTATATCAATAATTATGATTGTAGAAATCTCTTTTTCAAAAAATAATTTGATGTTCATACCAACCCACTGTTTGTGGGGTTTACCAATACACAGATTGAATTTCTGGAAAATTGTGATTCCGCTTCCGTGAAATCGGCCACAAGTAAATTATTTTAGTATTAATAAATGCATGATTTATTCTCTTATACTGTTGTTGCTATTTTTTAACATTTAAATGGAAAAAAAATAAGAAGTGTAATTCATGGCTTTTTATTTATCTTTGAATATTTTATCATTGAATATTAATTCTTGCAAAAAGTAAAATGTAAATGGCAATTTATTTGATGTTAGATTCCTTTTAAAAACATAAAACATAAAAAAAAAAGATAAAAAAAATCCATATATTTAATACAGAATTTGATTATTGGGGCCACCTGTCATATGGGGCCATTTTTACCGGGGCCATTTTTTCCGGGGCCATATTTTCCGGGGCCATTTTTTCCGCGGCCATTCTTACCGTACACCCCCACATGCAGATGGTGTCGATGCCTGCAGACACTTCCCCTTGAACAACTCATTTTCTGCTGAAACCACTAATGATATAACCACTATTATTGACTTCATCTTAACACATAACAATTTCATGTTTAATAATCAGCACTTTTTACAAACACAAGGTAAAGCGGGCACTAAAATGGCCCCTAGTTACGCCAACATATTTATGGCCGAACTT